GGGAGTTGCTGCTGCTGGAGGAGAGGCCAGGGGAGTTGCTGCTGCTGACGACTTGGAGGCCTGTGGCTCTGCAGCAGACGACTTGGAGGCCTGTGGCTCTGCAGCAGACGACTTGGAGGCCTGTGGCTCTGCAGCAGACGACTTGGAGGCCTGTGGCTCTGCAGCAGACGACTTGGAGGCCTATGGCTCTGCAGCAGACGACTTGGAGGCCTGTGGCTCTGCAGCAGACGCCTTGGAGGCCTGTGGCTCTGCAGCAGACGACTTGGAGGCCTGTGGCTCTGCAGCAGATGACTTGGAGGCCTGTGGCTCTGCAGCAGACGACTTGGAGGCCTGTGGCTCTGCAGCAAACGACTTGCTGTGATTGCTAGTATCACTCAGCCCTCTGTGAACAGTAAACAGCCATCAGGTGCTAATGATCCATTGTTAGGCTGATGGTCCTTCTTGAGCATGTGAGCAGCTGGTTTTGGTTGTCAGCAGCAAACTGGTTGATCCACTCTGAGAAGGTGCTATTTAAGAGACTGAGCTGAATACAGCACCTCGGACTGAGGAAGTCCTCAGGATGAAAGATGAAACGTTTCTACTTTGTACATTTTTTTGTTGTTTTGCTTTGTTTTGTTTTTGAATGTCCAGAGGACCAGATTTAACATTTTTAGATTTTTCTACCTGGATTACTGAGCATGCATCAGGATTGATAACAATTGTTTTGGGCAGACAGACTCTACTGACATGTGTGCATTCAGTTCTGCTCGAATACTCAATGGTGAATCCAAACAGCCAGATCCGTGGACATTCTGCCGAGGTAGGGCTAACAACCTCTCCAAAATCTCTTCCATCCAACCATCCGTGAACACTGCTACAATGGTCCACAGTCCTGCCTGCTCTGCTCTGATACAGGTCCACAGATAGTTCGCACACAGTCTGAGTGTTGCCAACCCCGGCGCACACATTCCAGACAGCTTCAACAGCTGCTGGCGTTTCCAAATTTGTTGACAATATAGATTTCCACCGACTCCAAAAAGCAGAATCCAGTTATCATAAATCCAAATATGGTTCTGAGAAGAGGGCTCTCCTTCACCCTGTCTTCTTGTAAAATGTTATTGATTGCGTTGAGAGACCAGCTGACTAGATCCATAATACATTTTGATTCTGAAGATGTGTAAAGAAAGGCTCTGAGGAGGTTCACAGGACAGGAGCAAAACAGCAAGAAGGAGGGAGGAGTGGGTGAAAGCGACAGTCTTTGTCGAGAGCGAAATAGAGAATTGATCTCTCACTCCATTTTTCTCAGCTTCCTCAGCTCATTCTTTATATCTGATTTTTTTTTAATCCACGCTGAATGTAAAGCTGACAGTAACATTTAGTGGACTCATTTTCTATCTGACTGGTGCTGGTAGCTAAAAGCCTCCTGAGTTCATGTTGACCCCCTACTTGTGTAATTATTTTTTACAAATACAAATCTTTTTTACATACAAATTCCTATCTACACATGCACAAATCACAAATGTATTTTATAAGGTTACAAAACAAATTTAAAAGTACAAAATATTGGTAAGTGGAGTTTGTGCTGATTTACACCTAAATAAATTCTACATCAGAATGAATGACTTGACCATGAGAAGTGTGCCTTTTAGTGGCCTTTAGAGATACCGTGAAAATGTAATTCAATAATAACATCTAAAACCAGAAGAGAACATCTGGAGATCCTGAAGAAACTGAAAGGCCTTCCACTTGGTTTCAACTTCATCTTTAACAGATCTCTTTTGTAAATGAGTCCTCAAGGCTCAATGAGACTAACCTGGATAAATAAAGGTTGAATGAATGAATGTCAACCTTGAGTCGAGTCGACTACAAAGACTTGTTCTAAAACCAGTTTCATCAGCATTTGTTTCTAAAAGAGAGTAAAATGAGTCATGAGACCAAGGACGGGACATGAGACAGAGAATGAGATATTAGACCAATGACAGGACATTTGACAGAGAACGGGGCATGTCACGGAGGACAGGACATGAGACAGAGAATGGGGCATCTGACTGAGGACGGGACACAAGACCCAAGGTGGGACATGAGACTGAAGATGAGACCAAGGACAGGACATGAGACTGGATGGCAAGACATGTGACTGAGGATGATACAGGAGATTGAAGACAGGACATGAGACTGAAGATGGGGCAGGAGAGAAGAACGGGACAGGAAATCGAGGATGGGATGTGTGACAGAAGATGAGGGAGAAAGCAGGTGAGGAACATAAGATCTAATGTGGGACATGTGACTCAAGACAAGATGGAACTGAGAATGGAACATGAGAACCAAGATGGGACATGAAACTAAGAACAGGATATGTGACGGAGGACGAGACATGAGACAGAGGACGAGACATTGGATCTTTCAGGATGTAGAACCGAGTCCGGTTCTGCAGACATGCTGGTGTTCACCAGCAGAGTTCAGAACCAGTTCCAGGGTCTTGCTTGACCAACGTCTGATGTGGATCTGAAACAGTCACGTGACAGGTGATGATGATGAAGGTCAGCTGTGGAGGAATGTTCTGACGTCACTCA